GAATTCGAAATGCATGCTGTGGTTAAAAAGAATTTAACCAATTTGACGCAAGTAAGCCCTAAACATCATTTTTTACCACGACAATTGCTAGATAACTTAGCGATTGCAGTCAATTATCCGATTGGGCTTAGGAAATCATACAAAATATTACGTTCTTCCATTGACGCGTTTTTGCCTAAAAAAACCGCGTGCCTTTCATCAAAACATATCTATCCTATTTTTTTATTACAAGGTGAACGTGGCATTGGTAAATCAAAATTGACAACTGCTGTTGCAAGAGATCTAGGAATGCATTTGTTTACAATAGATTGTGCCGAAGTTGTGTCGCAAGTTCCTTCTCACACTGAAATGAAATTGAAAACAATTTTCGCCAAAAGTCTTATCAGCGAGCCATTATTAATATGCTTTCACAATTTTGAGGTGAGTTTAAAATTAATATATAATATAGTACTTGATTGCGTTGAAATTTTACATTGAAATAATCTCTAAAGGCTTCCTGATTTATCCAGAAAATATTATATAAAGTTAGTCCTTGTAATAACAGTATATTGATGACTCGCAATAACAGACTAGATAACCATCATAAATAGGGTGATCAAAACGATATAAACAAATCAGATAGTTTAAAAATTATAACTTTTATAAAGCTTTCGTGCTATTGGTCTATGTACCATATAGTATTTTACACTGACTAATGCAGCATACTGAGAATTAGTCTATATCTATTCAAATAGGTTTTAAAGCATTTAATTAAAGTACTGTTAAATCGAAAACCTTATTTAGTCGTAGATATCTCATCGATAACTTAACAGTTTAATATTTACTAAATATGGGTTCTGTAATATATAAATAATAAAACAAAATCAAAAATACTTAATTTGTTTCGTATTGGAACTATTTCCAAATAGATAGATCCCGACTTAATTTTTATATTATGTACCTATATCCTAATTAAAATTCCTATATACTATATAATCTATTAATTTTCTATGAATTTTTAGTATTATATATTTCTTATTTTCCTATATTAATTTATTTTCTTCTCTAAGATTTTTGGTATAGACAATGAGGGCAATGAAGATCTTCGACTTTTATCATCCTTTCAAGTTCAGATCCAAGAACTTTTCGCTCATGATCGTAAACATCCAATAATAATTCTAGCACTAACTAATGATAAACAAGTAAAACCATTAATCCATCGAATATTTTTGGAAGTAATACATATTGAGCCACCAACTAAAGAAGAACGCTACGATATACTTCGTTGGTTGCATACACGTGAACTATTTAATCACTTCATATATAATGAAAATAATATAAAAAATATACCTCTTTATTCCTTAAGAGTGCAAGAACGCTATATTAAAAAATTCTGTAAAAATTGGTCAGAAATTAAGCAAATCTTACTTGAAGTGGCGGATAAATCACAAGGTTTCGTATTAGGAGATTTGGAATTATTACACGAAAATGCTATACGTTTATTGCGTCGTGAACGTTCCGGAAAATCAAAACTGTCCTATTCACACTTTTCGACGAATTTAGCGGAAATGCAATCTTCTTTTGCTGATAGTCTTGGTGCACCCAAGGTTCCGAAAGTATTATGGTCAGATATTGGTGGTTTAGCTAAATTAAAGGATGAAATACAAAGCAGCATTGGTTTACCACTAAAACATGTACATTTAATGGGTAAAAACTTGAGAAGATCTGGTATACTATTATATGGCCCTCCAGGTACTGGTAAAACGTTGGTTGCCAAAGCTGTTGCGACCGAATCCAATCTAAGTTTCTTATCAGTACAAGGGCCTGAGTTACTTAATATGTATGTGGGTCAAAGTGAACAAAATGTACGTGAAGTTTTCTCACGTGTGCGGTCTGCTGCACCATGTGTGCTATTTCTTGACGAATTAGACTCATTAGCACCAAATCGTGGTGTTGCTGGTGATTCAGGAGGAGTAATGGATCGTGTCGTTTCGCAATTATTGGCAGAAATGGACTGTTTGGGTGATTCAACAAAACCGATATTCATATTAGCAGCTACAAATCGACCAGATCTAATTGATCCTGCATTGCTAAGACCAGGTAGATTTGATAAACTCTTCTATGTCGGACCATGCTCTAACAGTGAAGACAAAGCGTCTGTACTACGCGCACAAACCAAAAAATTCAATTTGTCAAACGATTTTAATGTTGACGATATTGCTGAACGTTTGAAAGGTGATATGTCTGGGGCTGATTTATATTCAGTATGCTCAAATGCCTGGCTTTCAGCTGTAAGGCGTACAATTGATAAGCATCTTAAAGGTTTGCTATTGGTAATAGTTTTTCATTAAACTCAAAAGTAATTAATTGTAACTTTTTATAGGTGATATTAAGACGGCTAATCTAGTTGCTGAAAATGTTGTAGTGGAAATGGATGATTTTGTTAAATCATTTGGTAAATTTATACCATCCATAAGTAAACAAGATTTGGAATACTTTAATCAATTAAAATCATCGTATAGCGTTTAGAGAATTATAGGACAAAGTCTTATGATTTAAAATAATTTAAGAGGGGTTGGAAAATGTTTATAGTTATTGATTTGTTTCTATTTTTGAATAAATTTATTGAATTTTTTGACCGTTTATAGTTCTTTCTATTATTGTAAGGTATATATTATTGTATAATTGTGGTATTTTCATATAGTCTAGCGTATAATCAATAGGATACCAAAAATTGTTTTATGAAAAAAAAAACACTAAAGCTTAAGTTATTATTGTTGTAACACATTTGCATTTTAGGTTTTTTCTTTGATTTGATAACAGGAATAAGTATTGCTTGAAATTTTCGAAAGCACTATTTTTTCTTTGGACTGCACCACAGCTGTTTAAACGAAGATTGGAGGCATTATTGAAAGGCGTGATACGATGGTTTTAGTTTATTGATGGTATTGCTACTAAAAATGTAATACTGTAGTTGTTACGGTAACCCGTGAAAATCTGCTGATATACTCTCTTTTGGGAATAGTAAACGTTTCGTCAAAATTGGTCGTCGAAACTCACGAGTGGCTTCAGAACAAAAACCCGGCCGATTTTGAAACCTATAATACTGTAATTAATTACACTGATCTGTAACTGATACTATCAACAAATGATTAGACAATAGTGAACTAATAAGATGATATAAATGTGAGTGATTTATATATAAACAAAAAGTTGTTAATAACTGCTCAATTCATAGAAAACAGTTACTGTATTGACACAATGATTAAATCGACTATCTATCTGAATGTATATGTCACTGCTCTGTTGTGATATTTGCGGTAATTCTATTGTTGAGGCTTAGCTGGGTTAGAAAAGAAATTAAAATATATATACTAAAATGAGTTATTATAGTTTTGTCTGAGATGTCGTCATGCATTATTTTATCTTGCCAACACCTATTGACTGAAGGTATTTTTATGGTAAAACTAACTAAGTTAATATTGTGTTGATTTTATGTCGTCGACTTATATTGAGATATCTGTGCCAGCACTGACTAGCTGTAGAATAATTTGGTCATTTATCAATCGGACGTGATGGGGATGCAGTAGTTCCTGTATGATCAACTACGGCACTAGCTGACTACCGGAACTGGCTGACTATCACTAAATAACTCCCTTCAGAATTAGCACATGCTAACCATAATAATATACATTAAATTCACTTAATTTTCGTAGTCACCAATATTTTTAATATATTTCTTTGCAATATATTCTAAAAACGTGAAAAACTGGCTGCACTCACCTACATCTAAAAATATATTGGTTGGAACCGTCCTAAGATTCAACTTAATGGGTTTTCTCAAATATCGGTCTTTACAATATTCGTCTTAAAAATTATAATATAGACAGCACAAGCAAGTATAATTTTGTTTATTCGACTTTCTTCGTTACAAAATCAAGTTAAAATTACATCGATTCGAGAACTAAACTTACAATTGATATGTAATTTGTAGAAATTTAAATTATGGTAAATTTATAATTCAGAATAGTACAATTGTGTAGCAATATTGTGAATAATTATCATAAACCAAAGCTAAACAAAAAACTAAAACTTTTAGTATTCTTTGATTACAGTATTTTCATTTAAGAGTGAAATTACAAAAACCAAATTAATATAAATTTTGGGTTTGCTATTTGAACATGTTTTTAGAGGCCATATATACAGTACGCACTTAAGAGCCCCCTAAATGTAGTATAATTTTCGTCTTTAATTGTTGATGGATTCTAAAATATTAAGACTCAAATTAATATATCTAAAAACTGATTTGTTATTTTGAACCCTCAAATTTGGTATTTGTATATGCATAATTTTGTAAGAAATCTTTTTCACCGAGATTTAGCTTGCCGGATCCCAGGTTCAGTCCTATAATAAATTTAATTGTCTGACAGAGACAGTGAAAAACTGAGAAGAATTATGGGAGATTTGGAAATGTTTTAAACTAACCAGCGCTACTAATGCGATGTAATCACGTCGCTGTATAGCTGACTCTCGTTTAAAGACATGTGAATTTCTTTCCTGAACCAAAAGATTTACTACAATATGTACATTTCGTAGCCGCAAAGGAAAGAACAATGTATTAGTGATAGAATCTCTACCTAACCTGTGGAGTTTAATATGAAATGTTAATTCCGTAGCCGCGAAGGAAAGAACGTATTAAAATGTATTAGTGATAGAAATATCAATTTCTACCTCACCTGTGAAGTTTGCTTTGAAATGTGAATTTCGTAGCCTCCAAGAAAAAAACAAAGGATTGGTGATATAAATATAAATTTCTATCCACCTATAATGCTTAGCAGAAGTAGAAATGTATATGGTACTTATTTGTTTTCTGTATTATATATATTATTTATTGAAACTGTCATGTCGAATAATGGTATAACATCAAGCAATTTTAATAAAACATAATCAAAAATTAATTTAAATGCAACTCTAAAAACTTGCAACATTTTTACATATATGCAAAAGTGTGGCAACATTAGTACACAATTTTTTTATTCACTGAATATGGGACTTAATATTGACAATTAAATATTTAAGTTTTATACAACGTACTTTTAAATATTTTGTGTGTAAAATAATACATAAAATAAAAACCTATTATAAATGGCAAACTCTTACGACATACCGAGCTGGTAAATAAATAATTTGTGAATGCATAACTTTTGTAAACAAATATTTTTGAAGGGCTGGAAAACCACCAACGGGTCTACATTTGGATGTATTAAAAGAAGATAAGTTGGTGCAAAAACTTATGGTTGATGAAAAGAAGTGTTATTTGTTTGGTCGCAATAATCAGATGAATGATTTTTGTATTGATCATGCATCGTGTTCCAGAGTTCACGCTGCGTTTGTCTACCACAAGCATTTGCATAAGGCGTTTTTAGTAGATTTGGGTTCAAGTAAATTAAAAATTTTTTAATAAACTAAAGAAAAAAATAATATTTTATTATT